AACCGACCCACCGATCCGGAGCCTCTACCGTGTGGGGGAGTTGATGGCAAGAGTCATGTATTCGGATCCCTCCCACATTGCTCCTTGACTCCGGATTCCCATCCTTATCACCCAACGATTGACCTCGTATTACCCGCCCTACGCCTGGATTACCCATTTTCTTGCCTAGCACACTAAACTAGTTGACTTACTCCTAGATTCCACGCGCATACCGTGTGTCAGGGCCACGACACAATATTATGCGGGTTTGTCTACTCGCTCCACCCCACCCACAAGGCCCCGTGGCACTGGCACTTAGGGTATGCAAACCCGTAACACTGTTGTGGCTAGCCCTGACACCGGTCCAAGGCCAGGGAGCTCAGGGCATAGATAGACTCACCTGTCTGATGAAGGAGAAGGCCGCCACCGTCTGCAAAGAGAAGCAAGCATACCGTCACAAACAGTTCCCGCAAGCACCGCTCGGCAAAAGCGACCGGACAGGAGGCGCTGGGGGCTTCCGCAGCACCTCCACACATATTAGATTAGACACAACAAGGGGTGACGCGGTCGTCGTCTACCTGGAGGTGTCGCAGCAGCCCGTGGAAAGGCGGCGCGGTCCTCGCGGCGGCCGAGGTGGCCGTCGGGTCCGGGTAGATGACGTTGGACTCGTCCTCACCGGGGCCACCCGGGTTCCAGCCGTTGCCGTTGGTGTACGTCGACGGGTAGTCGTCCGTCGTCCTCCCCGGCGTGCGGGAGGACTGGCCGTAACTGTTGTAGTTGTTGTAGGCGTTCTGTTAGTCCCACACCAAAGCGGGCCGGGCGAACCAGGCGTGCAGAGAACACACAGACACCGGCATGCAAAATGATCACACTTAGACCACAGAGAGGAAAATAAAAACAACAGAAACCGTTTTGTCAACGGTAACTTTCTTTGACACAAGGCATACTCATGCAAACACAAACGCAAGCACACGGTGAACAAAGAAGAGAGCCAGCTGATGTCGCGTACCACCCACAGGGTGGTTGCGTTTGGACAGCCACGAACATGAAAAGTACACAACTCTTTCACGGAGCCCACAAGTTGGACGTGGAGTTCCGTAGAGGCACGCACCTGATCGCGGTCGTTGTAAGAGTTCTGGTATCGGGTCTCGGGGGGCGGCGTTGTCTTCTTCCTCATGTTGTAACGTGAAGTTCCAGTTGGTGAAACTTCGTGACTAATGTCGTCCCCCGCACCCGGAAAAACCCGCCCTGCGAACGAGAAAACAAGTTAGCTCAAGCGCTTTCGCTAGCCGTCCCAGTCAGTGGTCGGCAACCCAAGTAGATGCAGCTCCATCAGCTGGCTGCACCAGTCGCAGGCAGACCCACCGGTATCCCCCTGACGGTCCCGGTGACGCGGATGCTGCTGTGGAGGCTGCCCGAGGGGTATCTCCTCACTACTGAGGAACTCGCCCGGCCTATTCTTCACGACGACGATCAGGTCCGCTGAGGACTGGCCCGCTGAGGAAGACCGAACAGAGAAATCAGTTGTGTATTGTGTCCTAGAACCCCCCCCCCTAAAAATATTAACCAGGAATTTAATTCAACGATTGTTTTTTGTGCGTACGACGTACCGACACAGCTGTAGCGGCCACTGTCCTGCATCGTGGCGTCCATTATCCTGAGGACGCCCTTGTTGGAAATGTGGTGCTTTTTAGAGTGGTGCAACTGCTTGCCGTCTTTTTGCCACGCGATCTTAGACCTGGTTGGTCGAAAACAAGGCGTTAGTTGAGAGGCGAAAACAAATCGACAATATACGACAGTAAAAAGTAATTGCACACGCAACAACAACAACAACATGGCCAAAACAAAAAGCTCAACTTGATGCAGTTTACAAACAACGAACCACTCAGGTACTGGTTCAGGTACTGAATGCAGATGGATTTTAGTAAAAAGCTATACGATTATTGTACACAAACTTTAACAATAATGCAGAAACAACATTTTGCAGAGCAAGGTGCTACATACAGCCAGAATTTTAGTACGTTTTTTATTTTTAAATTTCGATTATCCAACGAGACTAGGAGACTTTCACGCACAGTATTTCGCGTAGAATTCTGTTACCTGACCTACAAAACCATTTCGATCAAATAATGTAATAAGATTTCATAAAAAAGATAAAATAGCTTGCTGGGAATGTGATGATTGAGTGGGGTAATAGCATACCCAAGCAAAGAGGCGGATGAGAGTACCAGATTAGTTTCGTAACTATTCAACAGTTCAAATACGTTATATTACACCCTCCTACTAAGAGATCTCAGAAAGGATATGGAATACGCGTGAGGACAGGTGTTGGCTCACAAAAAAATGTAACCTATGCCTGACTACCATTTCGCCCCCTAACAACAAATACATTCAAGGACCCGCTCCTGCTGAATTGCTAATTTTTCTAGAAATGCAGTTTGCTGAGAATTCTATTGTTGTTTGACAAGTGAGGCTCATTCTTTCCCACCTACACGCATCCCTGCCAAAAATGTTTTAAACTCAACTCCTTCCAAGGATTAAAAGAAAAAATAAATAAAAAAAATGACACAACAGTGAGCAGTAGCGCAGGTAAGGCGGCCAAAGACGGCTCATGCACATCGTACCCGGCTTCATCTTCCTCGCCCTCCTCATCCTGACCCTCATCGCCCTCATCGTAGTCGTTAGCATCGTCTGTCGCCTGCGTGGTAGGGGCCTCCGTCGCGCCGCCAAAACTCCACCATGCACGCTTGCGCCGGCCAACTGGGGGCACCCCGGAGGGGCCGTAGCCGAGGCCGTGGCCGTGCCAGCCCTGGCCTCCACCCAGCCCCCCCGGGGGGCCCCCGGCGAGCGAGCCCCTCTCAAAGGTCAGCGCGAATGAACTATACTGGTCAATCTCTGCCTCATCCCTGGGAGGGGGAAAAGGAAGGAGAGAAAGTTTGAGAAAGATGGGCAGAGAGACAGCCAAGTCAGACAAGACAGACAGACAGACAGACAGACAGTAGGTTAGGTGTGGGGTACAAAGCAAGGAACGGGGTGAAAATGTTCGAAAAGAAAACAAGACAGGAAAGACAGACAGACGAGAGTACAGACAGGCCAATGAAAATAAAGAAACAAAAGGAGAAACAATGCAACCGAATGGCGTACCGGTTAAAGCGCTTGACGGGGCAGCGTATCTTGAGCCTGGTGCCGAGGAAGATAGAGGCGGAACCGCCCACCTTGACGGACACCTGCTTCTGATTGGGCTTGGCTTCGTATGCAAATGTGTTGTCGTTGGCGGCAATGGCTGGCCGGTGGTCGTCGGGGCCGCACGGCTTGGAGTTGCATGGCCGGCGCTCCTGGGGCTTCAGGTGCTCGGGGCACATGGAGGCGGGCCGGGCGACCACGTGGTTCTGGGCCATGCGCTGCGTGCAGGTCACGGTGCGGGTCTTGAGCCCGCCCGCGCAGGGTCGCGAGCACTGCGAGTAGGAGAGACATAAGGGCACGGGGGAGACATGTAGGGCCGGGAGAACACAGGCACGCGCATTCAGATTCCCGAACGAGGCCCCTGCCCCTACCTTGCTCCAATCGGACACGTTCCAGGCCGGCTGGCAGTCCAGGACGTTGCAGTAGGAGCGGGCGGGCGGTTCGGGCTGCGGGCAGCGGCTGTTGGCGATGGTGATCTGTTGGTTTGTGGTCACCTCGTGGATGCACGACACGTCCCGGATCTTGATGCCCATGCCGCACTCGTCAGAGCACTTGGAGAACTCGGTGTAGTTCCAGCGCGGCGGGCACGGCTGGTCGTTGCAGGTCCTCGTGCGCGTCTCGGGCTTGGGTTCCATCTGAACAGGAGGAAAAGTTAGCGCCGCCAGTCAATGGAACGACTTCGGAATGCCTTTCAAGCTTCGTCAACGACCTACTTTGCACAGATGCGGAGTAACCGACTTGCCGTCTTGGTCCCGGATGCAGTGGATGATGGACTCCTGCACACCTGCGGTGGAAGGGTTTTGAAGTGGAAGAGTCAAAGTCTAAGGGTGAACCGGGAGACATTACTACGACTTATGTTCAGTGTACGGAACCAACCTCCTAGGCAAGATTTGCTGCACTCTCTGAAGCCTTGCTCCTTCCACGAGAACGTTCCTTTGGGACCGCCGACCCTGGGGGCCTCGGCCGTGTCAGCGAGGAGTTGACTGTCCAATCTGTAAGTTGTAAATGAACGTCACCAATCATGCCAATTATTGTAATAAATTAAACGAACCTAGACATTAGAACGTTATGAATGCAATGTAAACCGTTTATTATTTTGGAAGGTCCTGGGCTGCGCAGACAAGCAGCTAAATTCTGGGGTTAAATTGCCGCAATGCATAGCTTCAGCCGGCTTTAGCTCAGCGCGGTTTTCTTTGATTGAAGTTTGTCTTACACATTCCACAAAAGGAGAATGCTGATTACTTATTTAAAATTGTTCTACAATTCAAAGAGGAGATCGTCTGGAAAACACGTCTGTTTTACTCAGCATCTTTTGACAAATTGCGCGGGAGTCCGGCGCCTGTGAGGAACAGGTTAGGCCACCCTGCAAAGCGGACATGCGCTGAATGCAAGATGTTGCCTACCTATTAGGCGCTATAAGGCCTTGCACAGGCTTATGTAGTAGTTTCGTTCCTAGCGTTGAATGACGTACCTTCGTGGATGGCCCCAAACACACATGCCACACGAGGCATTTTACTAATGTCACTAACAAACATGTCAATAAAAAAACTCAAACTAAACGATGGAAATATTCTTCATAGTTTTCATTGAAATTTATGGCTTGGAAAAATGTTCAACTTTTCCGGCAATTTTTCCGGCCCCCAAATCCTTCGGTTAGATTCGACAAGCGCCTCTTTCGGCCACCCGCTTCTTTTGCCCACGGTCCCAGCATAGGGACCCGTGGTTCCAGAATCTCGACAGGTTGGGGGATTAACGGCCGAGTCGGGGCTATCTAACGTGCCGGTACAGAGTACCAGTCGGGGCGGCTTGTGCAGGTAGCTGGGCCGCCCCGACTTAGCTTGAGTGGCATCGACCGGAGTCTGGACTTACTCTGGTGTGAGGTGAGGGTGTAAGTCGTACTTACGTGTTGGCGAGCGGACAGAGCGCGACAGTGCAGGGCTTGGAGTCGTGTGGGAGTGGCCCAGGGCACTGGTGCGCCCTCAGCGTGGTAGTGGCGCGGGACAGCTCAAGGAACAGCTTGCAGTGCACCTCTCGGCGCTGCACGCCCTCCCCGCAGCTCACCGAGCACGGACCCCACTCCCCGACCACGAACCTGCGCGTAGTCGTGCTGCGGACCGGGGTGCCAAGTGCCAAGGTCATTTTAAGCTAACAAATCGGCACTGCGCAATGCATCTACTGCTGTAGAGAATATAATCCGCGCAATTTACAACATTTGTTGAAATTTTTCTTTGCAAAGTATGTTGTAAATTCAAGACAGCACATTCTTGCTTGTCAATCAATTAAAACGCGATGCGGCGCGCTAGTAAAGTTACAATTTAAAATGTTGTAATTATACGACACACATCATGGAACATTTTCCCGTAAGCCTACGATTATTACTTTTCACTGTGACCCCAACAAAGATTTAAAATACAGACAAGCATTTAGTAAGGACGAGTTTGTCGGTTGTTTACCTGACGCAGGGCGGTCCGTGGCAGGGTTGCTTCTCGGGAGGCTTCGGGCCGGGACACTCGCGGTCGTCGATGCGCGCTCGGTTCTTGGTGCCCTCCAGGAAGACGCGGCAGTGCACCTCCCGGTGCTGCGCGCCCTCGCCGCAAGTCGCCGAGCACTCACTCCACGGCCCGGGGACGAAGCTGCGGGCGGGGACCACCATCGCTCTGTCACTGTTGCACTACACGATCACAATGTCCACCATCAAAAGGTCCGAGGCGGCGTTTCAAATACGCGGCCGTTGGCTTGGCCGTTGCAAACAACTTATTTAGAGCCCGATTCTTTACAAAAGTCGTTAGAATGCATTCAAGTAAACGTTCCTACCGTCTACTTCAATATTACTCAGGACGCTGTCAGATTACGTCCGTACCACCTATATGCAAAATCAAATAGACTAAAGTTGGACCCTGTACGCCACACATCTGTCCACGACATGCTCTGATTCGAGGTCTTATTCCTAATAATTTAACTTCACAAGAACTCTGAACAAGGTCCCAAGGAGGCGACCTATCTAAAAGCACGATAACAAGTTACTCAGGCTCACAACTAGACACTTAGTAAACCTAAGGCATGCGGAAAAGGAGACATCAGTGCCACTGGACCCGAGGGACACCCGGCGACACCTGACCAAGGGGATACCCCATCCAGACCCGGCGCAGGCTCTCCTGCTCTGCTCTTGACTGTCGCCAAAACTGCACAAAACGTGTTTCACGTGCGCGGGTATATCGAGTCCATATGTAAATGTTATAGATGGTAGTTACGATCATGTGGGTGAAATATTAAAAATAATTTAAATGATAAAAAACAATTTGGTTACTCCAGAAGCACGAAAAATTATACGAATCCTACTATGGGGTACACTAGGGGAAAAATGAAAGAAAAATAAAACGAGTCATTTTGTCATGGTTGGCGCGAGCAGCTATAATCTATCATTCATTTCCTTTTCAGTTTTATGGTTCCATGCCACTACTCACTAGATGGTCTCACAGGAGGCGCCCCAATCTGAAGTAACGCCCAACCAGTACACTACCAAAATGGACATGCGCTAGACGAGACAATAGTCTCCAAAATGCAGTGATGCAGTCTCGGGTGCAACATTAGTGTAATGAACCTATGGTCTGCAGTGGGCAAAATTGACTGTTAAAGAATTAAGGGGAAGGTGCAGAGTGCTAAACGATGTAGAAATAGTACTATATTGGAATGGATGCGAAAATAGTGTGCCTTATGAGAGTTATGGAAAAATGTCGGTAATGCCAGAATGGTATCTTCGTCTGTTTTACCTCAAGTACACCCAACCGCACGAGAAAAACGTTTTGTACGGGCTGCAAGAGACAGGAAGGAGTGAGGTTGTAGACAGTGCAGCGCTAAGACCACACACGCACGCACACAAACGCAAACATCACAAGCAAACGCATGCGCCAGCCGCCAGCGCCCTTCGCTCGTATTTCTGCTCTCAGTTCACGAGTAAACGCATTTCTCTTTCGCACGATTCGTCTCACAGGCATAACCTTGTTTCCATTCTGGCGCTACGCAGATTCAAAAGCCACCGAGAAAGTATTTCGCTGTCGTTAAATGATAAAGGGTAGATGGGCCGGATACTCACGATCGGTCGCTGGCCGCTCCCGTTCCCGCGGGCCCCGCTCCCACCCCCGCACCTCCAACAAGCCGTTCCGCCACAGCGGGCATCAGGGGTGGGTAAGGCCTCATCAGCGGGTCGGTGTAATCCGAGTCCGGGTCCAAGTCCGAATCGAACGCACCATCTGCATCGTCGTCTTCGCCAGACCCTGCGCACAAGGGTAGGTCATATGACCATCACGCAACAATTCATAGAGATGCATTTTTACAGTAACAATTTCGCTGTAAGAGGTTTGCGGTGATTCATGTTAAATACAGCAAATTACGGTAAAATATAGAACTAGCTATTTGTACGCCAGACCAAGTCTCGCATAACAGGCTTCGCGATGTCTTACGAAACACTGTTCCGCTGCGACGCGGCTGGCGCACATATAGCTAGGCCTGCGGCACTGACACCGATACAGGTGAGTGGACAAAAATGGGGCCTTACGGCCCCAAATCGAATAAACTTCCAGAGACTGTCAGGGTTATCACTTCAAAATATGCGAGACGGAAGTTGAGCTAAACTGGAAGAGATTACATTTAAAGTCCCAATTTCGTGCGATTGTGACGTAATAACCAACTTTTTCGTGATACTAAGAGGTCAAGGACACCTAGAACCCCAAGACAGGTCTGCTTCGACTCAAAAGGTGTGGTTTTCAGGGGAAAGTATCTCTACATTTTGATGTGAACCATTTTTAGCCCTCCCTTCTGCTTTGAAAAAACTATTCAGTGGGCGTATTTTTAACTTCAAAAGCTATTTTGTAATTTTCGGCATATTTTCGCCGAGAAATGCTCTCTAGCACCCAGACGGTACAAGATGGAGCAAAACGGACGAAATTTTCGCCCTTGGCCTCTACATTCAAAAGTTACCTCTAGAGAATCAATTGAAAGATATTTTTAAAAAAGTATTTTTCGCGACTGCTTTTTTTAAAGCCAATTTTTGAGTTACAGTGCTCTTCTTTAAACTCGGTCTGTCTTTTCATTATACAAAACGACCCTAAAATTCCCAGGTCGCTATCTCAATTCCTTGTCCCCTTATTTTGCATACAGACAGACGAATAAGCAGACACACAGACAAACAAACATAATGACACTTTTTCGGTCAGACAACAATTAGTAAAATTGGTTTAACACTATAAACAGCGCACCGATAATTCCTTCCGAAGGAATAACATTTCGTAGAGTGGAGAATTGGCCGGTCAGTTACACACCGAGCAGGGAGTTGTAGTTGAGCGCGGGGCAGGGCGCGGCCGCCGTGCACGTCCGGGTGAGAGGCGGCTGCCGCAGCGGGTCGCACGCCATGTCGTCCAGGAAGGCGCCGTGGCTGTCAATGCACGTCAGCGGCCGCGTCTGGATGCCGGTACCGCACGTCGCCGAGCACTAGGAACAGCAAGCACTCGATAAAACAACAAGTTTAGCTGGACCAGCTCCTCACACACTGTTAGAAATATTTTGTATTTCCCAACACTTTCACGATAAAAAGCAACTGTGAAATCACAACACTTCTTTGTAGTCAAAAATATTGCATTTTGTTATCTTACTTAGAAATAGTTGTGAACCAACCATAATAATTTCTGAAGTTATCAAATTTTGACAACGAAGAAGAGTTTTGATTTCTCTAAGAGTTCTGGCAACATTTTTCACAAAGAATTCTTCGTGAGGTTCTGGCCTAATTTTTAACAGTGCAGTTGAATACGGCCTTCGTTCGTGCTTCAGGTTTCCTTCCCATACGGAAGCGTCTGTCTACATTTTCAAATCTTGTCTCTGAAGAGTATGCCAGCCAGACGTACCCCGGGAGCCCCGTCTCCGAGGTCCTCCGCCGACCAAACGTCCTTCGTGACCTCCTTTTTCTCCCCCCCCCCCCCATTCTTTCAATAGAGATACTCCCCATTGAGCTGGCTCGCTCAAACGCCGTATCCATCTCGACTGCTGCGCTCAAATAAAGCTCAAAACTTGCCAACAGCAGGCAGCTCGGCGTGGCCTCGGCCAGTGTGGGGGTCC